ATCATAGGACTTATTGGACAATAAATCCACTTATTGGTTGTTTATTTTATTTGCCATCTTTGATTTTTGATTTATTATTATTATTTTTTATTTTTTATTTTTGTAAAATATTGCTTTCTATAATCATTTTGGTTTTGGGAATTGAGAGCTTTGATGAGTGGCAACTGTGTAGCTTAGTGTGTGTTCAATCTGTTAACTGTGTAGGGTTGGCGACTGGGGAGGCACGCTCTAGCATACTGTAGCCCCGAACTCTGTGAGTAACGATTGTGTAAAGATATGTTCACAAATGATTATCTTCTGAACAACTGAACCGTACTGTTTTCTGAACTAATTTACTGTTAACTGAATGAATGTATGTCCTATATTCTGAACTGTATTGTGACATCCTTAGCACCTATTGTTTACTGTTACTGTAACAGAATTCTCTATCAGTTCCCTTGTCGGAACCACCACTGTTTACTGACTGATGGCCATCATTACTGCTCGGTCTTTTAAGACCTACTATATACTGCACTGTTATGCTAATGGATGTACCACATATGACTATACTGACTGAACGACTGAAATACTGATTTAATGAACTGTTTTCATTACTGTAAGGACATTCATTCGTAACCCCTTTACGCATTATGTTATTCACTGGGCTTTAGCTCACTGCTCATATATATATGTAGGTGTTCAGGCACCAGACCGCGCCTAGGAGCGTCAGGGTTACTCCAGTTTTGTCAAGCCAGCCTATGTGCCTCACTGTGAGGTTCCGAGCCTATGATGTTAAGGCTTAGGGGTGTTTTACAATTCCCCCTTCTGTACTGTCTTACTGTTTTGTATAGACCGAATGCTTACTGTACTGCGATGTAAAGGGTTGAGTCCCTAGTCTGAATGATTGTGCATTTTGTGCATACTGTTCTGTACTGATTATGTATATATGTATGAAAGTCTTTTTACATACAGACTGTCACAGCTCATTGGACATTGTTTATTTACTGTTTTGGCTTTCGCCAGGCCCTGTACTCTGTTTTACTGTTCTACTGTTCTGCAGGCCTTCGGTAATCTCGGATTACTGACCGGTTACGGTGCTAAACCCATAGGACCGGGTTTGGGTCGTAACAATAGGGAAATTAAGGGGTGTGTACCGTTCGAACCGGCCGGGCAGTCGGGCTGGTGCTGACTGGTCGACTCGGGGGGGTCAGTCGGTATACTGAGGTGTTTGGTTATTGTACTGGGTGTTTCTGGTTTCTGAGTCCTTTCTCTTCTCTCTAGGGGTCGGGTTTTTTGCTGTAGGGTTTTGGCGAGCGGTTAGGGAATCTTCTGCGTTCATGTATTTTTGGGCTTTGGAATGAAAGGTTGCCATGGAGGTCGGAGGGTTTTTTGAGAGGGAGAAAAGGAAATCAGATGATCGTAGGCCGGCCATGAATGCCGTGAGGATGACCTTGTCATCGTTTTCCGCCACCTGCAGGGCTTCGGTGTTGAAGCGGGTGACAAAGCTGCGCAGCGACTCCCCCTCAGTTTGACGGATGTTGAGGAGCTGGGTTGCCGGACGCCGCTGGCGCTGGGCTCCAATGAAATGGCTGAGAAAAGAGTCACTGAGGTGCTAGAAAGTGGAGACAGAGTCTGCTGGCAGTTGACTAAACCAGAGTCGAGCCGACCCCTTGAGTGTCACGGGAAAAGCTCGACATATGATTTCATCGGGGAATGCATGGAGGATCATGAGGGTTCTGTAGGTCTCCAAGTGATCGACTAGGTCCGTTGTACCATCAAAATAGTCGATCGTGAGCATTTTGAACTTAGGAGGTAGAGGTTTGTCCCTAATAGCGGTAACAAATGGGAAGTTGGCTGTGGTAGATGGTTTATGCTGTATGTTTTGCATGACCCCTTAGAGTTGGAGCTTCATGGCTCGGAGTTCTATGTCCCAGAGAGGAATGTTGTCACCACCGGAAGGCAGCGAGGGCTGGACGCTGCTGGCCTCTCCTTTAGGGGTTGGTACCGGGATCAATGGATATGGGCCCAGGGGTGGTAGGTTTATACCTGGGGGAGAGGGTTGCAAGCCTTCCAAGTTGGGTGGATTAGGCTGCTAGATAGTATGGCTCAGGGCTCGTTCTTGGTTAGGTGGGATATCTGGAGGTGGTGGAGGAGGCATAGGAATGTTTCTTTGGAGTAGAGCATGAATCAGGACTTGGTTTTGCTCGGCCAGGCGGTTAATGCTGTTGGTGAGCTCGGTGAAATACTGTGGTGGGTTATTTGGATTGGGAGGGTCGGCTTGATGATCGGCAACATTGGGGTGAGAAGCCATGGATCTAGTTGTGACCATACACCTTCACAGGTGGTAGGAGGGGGTTGTGAAGAGAGGGTCTCCGGCGACAATGAGCACAACTGGTGCGCGGAACAAAAACTTTCCCATAGACGACGCCGACTGATGATCCTGCGGGTTTCAGACGGGACGGGTCGGACTGATCCACGCTTCCCAAACCGGTGTCCGAGTGACCAAGCCCACAGAGGAACCTGCACAAGAGTTCAACGAGGAACGGGGAGTCCCCCAGCAAACCCTCCGATGAGCAAGTTAGAGAGAGAGGTGAGATGTAGAGATAGATTAGAGTTAGAAAGTTTAACCTTCTTGTTGTCTTCGACGTCTGCTTATATCCTCTGGTAATCATTTCGTTGTTCCTTCCGAGCTGTCTCCTTGGCCGAAAGTCTATGCTCTAGTTTACCTTGTTCATGGTGAAGGTGTTCTGTCCCGACGGAGAGGGGTTATCACAATAAATATTGTAAGGGGTTTCATTAATGGCAATGTGCAGTGGTAATAACTTTGTAGATCTTTGTCTGCTTATGTGACTTGTCCTTCTCTTGCCATGTGTCCTGATGTCATTGGTTCTTATTGCTACGTGGGGCTTCAGTAATGCTGAGTTTTAGTATTTGAGTTATGTATTGAGTTCTAAATGGTGAGTTATAATCTTTATAGATTTACCCATGTCGAAATTGATTTTCCTAAGAGGAGAGAAACTTCTCCAAAAATAGTCTAATAATCTATGAAAAATAACCTCATAAATGTAATGAGGTAAAACATTACTATTATAAAATCACCAAACAATCAATCATTCTACTGACAGCGCGTTTGCCATAAGTCTGATCACAGCCACACGCACCACAAACATTCCAAGAAAGCGACCCACCCGACGTAAAAACAATACCAAATATTATAAATCTACCTCTGATAAAAAAAAATATTATAAATCTACCTTTAAAAATTATTTAAAAATTAATTTTTATCATATTTTACGTGAATTACACAAATTAATATTCACTATATAATCATTCATCCAAAATTTTCTGAATAAATATGGGTGGATCTTTAGATTTTTTGATTATAATAGTTAATAAAGACAAAATAAATTAAAATAATTAATAAGACAAAATATTACATTCAAATCATAATTATTATTATTTTTTTATAATTATCAAATCAATTATAAAAAACAAAAGTCAATTACTTTTCCAAACATAATTTTTTTAATCAGATTAAAATAATTAAAAAATTAAAAAACTAATAGGTAAAATAATCAAGATTTTTTTTTATTTTTTATTTTAATAAATAAAAAATAGACATTGTTAAACCAAGAAATGGTAACATAAAAGAGAAGGATGTTTAAAATTACAGAAATAAGAACCAGTTTTTAATGATAGAAGATGAGACAGAACAGTGCACAAAATGCTTGTGTTGTGTGTGATTTAGCTCTTAAAACCAATGATTAGTTCACTCTTAATGTGTACAGATCATGAATTTGGGTACACATGTCGGTCTCAACTCAACCCTCCCTCACTCTGTTCGTACAACCACACCAACCAACCAACCAAACAACCAACCAGATACTGAAGAAGAAAGGGAAAAAAAAAAGAAAATGAAAAAAGAAAAGCTATTTATGATGGTTTTATTATTATTATGGTCTGAATTCGAAGATGAGCGAGTGAGTGGTGTGTAGTTTTTTGGGTAAAATCTTCCATTCTTTGATCTTTTTTAGTCCTAGTTATCATATATGATTGCATTTGCATTTTGTTTGGATATTGGTTTTCGGTGAGAAGAGTGTCGGTGTGCGGTGGTGGTGGAGGAATGGGGACGACTGGGGGAGGCTGTGAGGAGAAGATATTTGTGTCGGTGAGGTTGAGGCCTTTGAATGAGAAGGAGATTGCGAGGAACGATGTGTGTGATTGGGAATGCATCAATGAAGATACCATCATTTTCAAAAACTGTAATCTTCCACTTCCAGATCGCTCCATGTATCCAACTGCCTACACTTTTGGTATGCTAATTTACTTTTCTCTTCATTTTTCATGTGTTTGTGTTGTTTTTGACTGTTTAAATTTAAGACTGTGTTTGGATCTTTGATTTGATTTGATTTCGGTAAGTGTGTGGAGTGAGAAGGAAATGATGGTCAAATGTGAATGAATCAAGTATAAATTAATTTATTTTATTTTTTACATTTTCATTCTATTTTCTCTTTGCTTCACAATTCTCTATCCAAATTAAGATCCAAAACTAGAAGTTTGTTAAACTATGTGGGTTATTTATTTATTTATTTATTTTTGTGGAGAGAATTTGAGCCATTATTTGAGCTAAAATCTTCAACATTCGCTGTGGTTGATGATTCAAACCTGAAATGTCTGAAAATAGGAAACCATTTTTGTTCTTTCTTCATTTAGCCGATTCTATTGGAGTTTTCCTTGTAAAACTGTTCCTTCCAGGGGGGTTCAAATTTAGGTTCTTTAATGTAGGACAGACTTTATTCCCAAATTACGTTAGAACGTGGTTAGCAACTCGCACCCAAAAAATAAATATTGCTAACCACATTTTTTATATAATGTGTAAAGGTAGTTCAGATAGTGGTATGTGTTAAGTGAAAAAAAGTGATTAATAATCACATTTTTTAAAAAATATGATTGCTAATCATGTTTTACTGTTGTTTGAGAATATAGTTTGTCCATACACTATTTATTTAATTTTGAATAAAAGAACTGTAAAAAGGTTGAAGGCCTTCAAATTCAGGTCTGTCTGGGTATCAATTTTACAGAATCTATTGCCACGGTTAAGTTGTGAAGTTTCCTGTTAAATGTAAAGCTTTGCATATGGTTCAGTATGTTAGATTTGAGAAACCTAAGTTTGAATGCAACTTATTGTTACAATTTCATATCAGCATTGGTGTCATGGCTTGGATACTCGTCTTGATCTTTCTTTCTTCATCTTTTTTCCCCCTGTTAGACAGAGTATTTAGGAGTGACTGCTCCACAAAGGAGGTCTATGAGAAAGGAGCCAAGGGCGTTGCTCTTTCAGTTGTCAGTGGTATTAACTGTGAGTATAATCTCTCTTTGCTTCTCCATTTTTCCTGATATTGAATTTCACTTGCATTCCATTGACAATTTTCTTTATGTCAAATAATGGGCATAAATTTCAGCTACTGTTTTTGCATACGGACAAACAAGCAGTGGGAAGACATTCACGATGACGGGAATTACTGAGTATGCCATCGCAGATATTTATGATTATATAGAGAAGGTAATTAAGAAACTACTAATATTCACTGTTTCTCACTACTTCTTGTTCCTGCATTCTATTATAGTACTATGTTCCTTGGGCTTTCACCTAAGAAGCACCAACACTTCTAATAAGTTGGCGTGTCCATGTTGGACATTGACACTCATTTGACACTTCCCAATGTGTGTTGGACCTGACATGCCTTGGATATTTGTACACATGAAACACATTATAAGTTTAAAAGAAAAACAATGTAGGTTTATGCCTATTAGCGAAACTGTAGGAATTAATGTTATGATGCATTTTTTGTTTTTTTGATAAAATATTCATATATATAATAAATGACATATAAAAACATATAAAACTATATATTTTGCATGTGTCACACGTGTTGTCTTGCTTTTTTGAAAATTTTCAGTGTCAGCGTGTCTCTGTGTCATGTTGCATGTCTGTGCCTATGCTTCTTAGGCTTCACCTGTTTTTTGTTTACATGTGTGTTTATTTGCAGCACAATGAAAGAGAATTTCTTTTGAAGTTCTCTGCTATGGAGATTTACAATGAATCTGTCAGGGACCTCCTCAGCACAGATAGTACTCCACTTAGACTTCTAGATGATCCCGAGGTCAGTTACTTTCTTGGTCGACTAAATAATTAGTATTTGATATTTTTCCATTATGCTTAATTCTTATCTATTTCACAGAGAGGGACAGTTATTGAGAAACTCACAGAGGAACCTCTCAGGGACTGGAATCATGTAATGGAACTCCTCTCCATCTGCGAAGGTAAGATATTCTTTAGTCGTCTGACTTTTACTAGATGATCGTGACTGCATATTCTAAATGTCTTGGTGCATTCATGAAGCTCAAAGACAAATAGGGGAAACTGCCCTGAATGAAACAAGCTCCAGATCTCATCAAATAATCAGATTGGTAGGAATGTTGTTTTCTTGAATGATTGTTCTAAACATAGCTTATCGTTCTTTCCATTCAATTGACTAATGGGTTTTTGCAGACAATTGAAAGTTCTGCTAAGCAATTTTTAGGCAAGGACAACTTAAGCACCCTTACAGCTGCTGTGGTATGGATCGTCAAGTTTTTGTTAGATTAATTTGCATGGTTATTAAGATGTTAATATATACCATGTTGATCTATATTAATATTATATCGATACATTCTATGTAGAATTTTGTTGATCTTGCGGGAAGCGAGCGTGCATCTCAGTCATTATCAGGTGGCACCAGGCTAAAGGAGGGTTGCCACATAAATCGTAGTTTACTGACACTGGGAACTGTTATTCGCAAGCTAAGGTTAGCTTGTTTTTCAAATTTTTTAATCATTTTGATAATGAAACTAACTCGAAGTCATTGCTTGAAAAGTTACTGGTTCTATAGCCTATATATATATGAGAACCGAATTCTACACTTGAGTATCTGATGCTTCAGATTTAGAAAGCTGTGACGGAGCTTTAGAGCTCCTCCTGTGAAGTTTTAAGGTGTGGCATTGCTAAACTAGCACAGTTCAGCAAAAAAAAACTCACTTCGACCATAATGCTAAAATAGCATAATGCTATTTCCTGTCCAAAACTTAGCACAAGAAATAGCACAATGGTATTTTATACTACACTTTGACCATTTGGCTTTTTCGATAAAAATTACATCTATGCTATTCTATTATAAATTTGTGGGCAATTTGGGCTTAGCCAAGTTCAATTTATTGATCAGGCTTGGGCAGACAAGATCGAGTTGGAGGTTGGGTTTGGGCTGGTTGGGCAACTCTCAACACAACTTGGGTTTGGCTTGAACAACCTCTCAACCTGACTGAACCCGCCCAAGTTGCACCGCTAAACAAAAGCAATATTATCAAAATCTGTAGAAGGCCTGCAAATAATAAAGACCAATAAAGTATCTGCAATCCAGTTCTGAGTTATTTATTTATTTCGTCCTTTTCAAATTTCCCCACCAAATGCGAAAAAGTTAGTGAAACCTTGATGAGCTCAATGGGCTAATGATCAGACTGGGAGCATTTAGACAAGCAGAAACTAATTTGATGAACAATATCAATATGATGGGAAAAATGAAGACCAAGGAAGTTCACTGAGTGCATCACAATCTGTGAAGCAAGATTGACAGTAGGATACCAACGCTCCATAAACTCCAATGCCCTGTCTAATCCACATTTACATCTAGAGGTTGACACTCCAACATTTGGCAACCACTAAGTTAAATGCAATGATGTAATGAAATAATTTCCACATTTATATATTTTAATAGGAATTTTCTTCCACAATTAGTTACAAAATGTACTTTGTGGTGGAACCTTGAGAACAAATACCCTCATGAGCAGAGTCAATTAACAATGCCCATTATTTGGACCAACTCAAAATAATCAGGTCCTCAGAAGATAGGAGATGTTCCACTAAATTTAAGTTCCATCATTCATGATCGTTTACTATGGTTCAGCACATGGTAAATTATGAACTTTTGTGGTCAATATTAGCACCATCTCGGAGCCAACTATCCTGAAGAAGTATACACAACATATATTAAGAAGGTATGTGGTATATCTTCTGTGAAAGGTTTAGCTTCTAAAAAGCCTCCTCCAAATATGAGAATGAAATGTATGGGGAGTGCAAGAATGAAGATGAATTCCATGACAATATTTAGCTAGTAAGAAATTTGCCCACAGTCACATATTACATTGATGTTTTCTCCACAACTTGATGCTCAAAGCTAGCACATGGAAGGATTGTGAAAGTCCAAACCTCCCTCTGTAACAAATAACAATAAGGGGTAATGAGATGATAATTCAATCCAATGGTACTTAGGAAAAATCATTATCTAGTTGTCAAGGATTGCATTCATCTATGTTGTGAAAACTATGAGTTGCCTTATTGCTTGGCTTGAACAACAAAGAGAACTGAAACAAAGCTAAATACTCCTTTCACTGAACCATGGACTTTTTGGTCTTTTTTTCCTGTTGATGGTCTTAATAGGAGCAAGAGTCAAATGAATTGTTTTAAAGCAAAAAACCAAGGACTACTTGAATTATCTTCATCAGAGTAACTCAAACTTGATTCTGACCATCATCATTTAGGCCATGATTTTCAAATTCGTTGACTGGTAATCACTTATATCAACCAGGTGCTAGTAATGGTTAGTTGTTTATTTTATTAAGACAATGCAGTTGTCAGGATCATACGTCTAATCACTTGGTCGTTCTGCTTTACTCTACATTTTCTCAGATTACTATCATCACTTTTGGCTAGTACACTCCTATGGGTAATCATGATGATCTTATTACATCAAAGATTTGTTGTTGTGGTCTTTTTAAATCAACCATAATGGTTAAATTCTCAGGAATTTTGTGCCTTTAATCCTTTTACCTGCCTTTTCTTTTTCTTGTCTGTGTTTTTTTTGGTTTGATTGTATGATGTTTCATCCTGAACATTACCATTTGTTGATTGCAAGTTTTGTTATCATTTGTGTTGTCCTATCATTGGGTGCAGCAAGGGAAGAAATGGGCATGTTCCTTTCAGAGATTCTAAGCTAACTCGCATATTGCAATCCTCGTTGGGAGACAATGCTAGAACTGCCATCATCTGTACCATGAGCCCTGCGAGAAGTCATGTTGAGCAATCAAGAAATACGCTATTGTTTGCAAGTTGTGCCAAAGAAGTAACAACTAACGCTCAAGTTAATGTAGTCATATCGGATAAAGCATTAGTAAAGCGTCTGCAGAGAGAATTAGCTAGGTTGGAGAGTGAACTGAGAAGTCAAGGGCCCACCTTTGTTGCATCACATTATTCGGCATTACTGAGAGAGAAAGGCCTTCAGATTGAAAAGGTAATGATTGGGCTTTCATTATCAAATTGCAATACCTCTTCAATAATAATATCAAACAGTTCATAAATTTCTGCGTAATCGTTGCATGATGAATATAAATTTCAAGACTCTTTAAAACCACAATGTCGTACTTCTGGATCTTAAATTAAATTATAGGGAAAATTTCACTTCGCCCCCTTGTGTATTGGCCTATGTGCACATAACCACTTGTCATTTGGAAATAAGCACATAAATCCCTCCAGTTTGTGGACTAAGAAACCCTTGTACATACGTAACTTGATTATGCAAACCACAAACATTTTTGTCATTTTTTGGGAGACAAAATTTACTTTAACCCTCTTTGTTTTTGTAAAAATTTAATGTATAAAGAGAAATAGAGAATTGTATTATTGATTGATGTATTGTTGTGTTATAAATTACTAATGTGAGGGGCTCCTTATATAGGAGATATAGGTGTAGTAGGTGGTGGTAGGTGTAGTAGGTGTGGGTGGAGTAGGTGTAGTAGGTGGTGGTAGGTGTAGTAGGTGGAAGTGGTAGTGGTAGGTTTTAACAGCCCCCCGCAAACTCAAGGGGGATAGGAACTAACCAACTTGAGTTTGGAGAGAGTAACAAAACAGGAAAATACATAAAAATAAAAGAAGATAGGAGACACTGTATGGTCGTGTCAGACCATTGGTGAAGACACTGGATGGTGGTGTCATAACGTTGTAGAGGACACTGTATGGTGGTGTCATAACGTTGTAGAGGACACTGTATGGTGGTGTCATAACGTTGTAGAGGACACTGTATGGTGGTGTCATAACGTTGTAGAGGACACTGTATGGTGGTGTCATAACGTTGTAGAGGACACTGTATGGTGGTGTCATAACGTTGTAGAGGACACTGTATGGTGGTGTCATAACGTTGTAGAGGACACTGTATGGTGGTGTCATAACGTTGTAGAGGACACTGTATGGTGGTGTCATAACGTTGTAGAGGACACTGTATGGTGGTGTCATAACGTTGTAGAGGACACTGTATGGTGGTGTCATAACGTTGTAGAGGACACTGTATGGTGGTGTCATAACGTTGTAGAGGACACTGTATGGTGGTGTCATAACGTTGTAGAGGACACTGTATGGTGGTGTCATAACGTTGTAGAGGACACTGTATGGTGGTGTCATAACGTTGTAGAGGACACTGTATGGTGGTGTCATAACGTTGTAGAGGACACTGTATGGTGGTGTCATAACGTTGTAGAGGACACTGTATGGTGGTGTCATAACGTTGTAGAGGACACTGTATGGTGGTGTCATAACGTTGTAGAGGACACTGTATGGTGGTGTCATAACGTTGTAGAGGACACTGTATGGTGGTGTCATAACGTTGTAGAGGACACTGTATGGTGGTGTCATAACGTTGTAGAGGACACTGTATGGTGGTGTCATAACGTTGTAGAGGACACTGTATGGTGGTGTCATAACGTTGTAGAGGACACTGTATGGTGGTGTCATAACGTTGTAGAGGACACTGTATGGTGGTGTCATAACGTTGTAGAGGACACTGTATGGTGGTGTCATAACGTTGTAGAGGACACTGTATGGTGGTGTCATAACGGTGTAGAGGACACTGGATGGCGGTGTCAGACCGATGTAGAAGACAGTTTATGGGGTCATATCAGAAAAGGCATGAAGCTGTAGAGAAGACTGTGCGGAGTAGTGAAGACCATGAAACAAAGTGCCTTTGAGATAGCGCAAAATGCGAATTAGAGCATTATAGTGTGGAGAACGGGGGGCAGCTATGAATTGACTGACGACGTGAACAGCATAAGCAATATCTGGATGAGTAACCGTGAGATAGACAAGACTGCCAACTAGTTGACGATATTTGGTGGCATCAGACAATAGGGAACCTTCAAGAGGTATAAGACGAGTCTGAGGATCAACAGGAGTAGTGGCAATCTTGCAACAGAGAAAGAGTGAACGTGCTCGGTGGCGTGGGAAACACGGAGGCAGCACCGTCAAGGGCCGCGCAGGACAGAGGCAAGAAGAAGAGACCGACGGCCGAGTAGAGAAGAAAAATCCCGCCTGTGGATGTGGTGGTTGTGGTTTTGGGTGTTTGTTTTTTTTTTTGTTTTTTTGTGTAAAATTGTGATCGGGGTGGATCCCTGAGATGAATAAAATATGGTTTGGTGTGCAAAGCTACATGGTATGAATGGAATTAGAAAAAGATTAAAAATAATGTGAAAGAAAAATAAAGAAAAAAGAATAAAAATATATTTGAAATCAAAAATGAAAGATGGGGGAAATAAGGAAAATGGTATGGAGAAAATAAAAAAAAAATAATGGAGTTGGAAATCAAACGGAGGAGAGAGAGGGGACAAGCCCATGTGATAAAGTGGCTGCTGGGGACTCCAGAAATAATATATTTGCAACTTTGTTCCAGGCATGCTTTCTTGGATAAAGGGTTTTACAGTCTGAATTTACACCAAAAAGTCCAATCTCTCCCATGGCTGATTTCTGATTTCTGTGGGTCAGTGGCTCCAATGAGCTTCCTGCCATATGTTATCACTCCTTCGCCTTCCCAGACCATTGCAATGACAGGGCCAGAACTAAGGAAGTTGCACAGGCCATTAAAGAAAGGTCTTTCCTTGAGATCATGATAATGCTTTTGGGCAAAAGCCTTTTAAGGAACCACTATTTTAATCGCCACAAGCTTAAAACCTTTTCGTTCAAAACGCGATATGATTTCTGCAATCAGCCCTCTCTGAACACCATCGGGCTTGATAGCAATGAAAGTGCGCTCCATCTCTGCAGCATGCGCCTCCTGCTCCTGAAGCATGTAGGCTGCAGCAGGAAGGGCAAGCGCCCCAGACATCCATCCTCGGGACGTATTTCCAGAATCGGTCCTCCTGTATGAAGCTAAATAAGGCACCTTTCCTCTTAATAAAACTGTCGCAGCACTAGCTACAGCTCGACTTTCAGAAAAGACATGAGAGGTCTGCTTAGACGCAGAGAGTAGAGACCTGGCAGCTCGGGAAGCAGATCTGCATACCTGAGAGCTCATCGTTGCAAACATGGTGTTCGACGAAATGTCCCAGAGGGATTTTGGGTTTGCTTCGGCGAGGTGGTGAAGAAGAGTGAAGGTATGTGTAGAAAATTCTAGCAGACTAGGTTGAGGTCCGGCGGACGGCCAAGGTGAGGTTGCCGCCCGCCGGTGAAGCGAAAAATACAAAGTTCTTAACCTTGCTCTGATACCACGTAAAAATTTAATGTATAAAGAGAAATAGAGAATTGTATTATTGATTGATGTATTGTTGTGTTATAAATTACAAATGTGAGGGGCTCCTTATATAGGAGATATAGGTGTAGTAGGTGGTGGTAGGTGTAGTAGGTGTGGGTGGAGTAGGTGTAGTAGGTGGTGGTAGGTGTAGTAGGTGGAAGTGGTAGTGGTAGGTTTTAACAGTTTTACTCCATGTGCAATTTATCCCTCTGACATTTGGAAATGAGCGCATAACCCCTTTATGTCCTGGCATGTGTTTCACACTTGTTAACTTGGACATGATGCCTGATGGTGCACTCCAGTCCACAAACTATAAGGGGATTGTATGGTTATTTCCAAATGATAGGGGGTAATCCACACATAGGTTAAACTACATTGGAGGGTAGAGTGAAATTTTCCCTAAATTATGTCACATGATCACATCCACTAGAGTGACTTAGTTTAGCAACCATAAGTGTAATCCCTTATTTCTGTGTGCATCCTTCTCCATCATTTATAATTAATTCCATTTTTCCTTTTAGGTTGCATAACTTCCATTCCTTTTCACTGTCTGATTGTCATATTAAGCCTTTCGTATATTTCTCGTTCTGTGCGGAACATGCAAAAAGAATTTTCTTGGTCTATTTAATCATTTCTAATCTTTATTCCTTGCCTTGCTTCTAATCCTTTGACAATCTCATTTCAATTTTGGTTGAATTTTTAGGACTTTTGTGATCTAAAAGCATATTGATTTTGTAACTCTTAGATTATTACAAGGGAGGAGCAGTTGAAATGTCAACAAAATCCCACCTCAAGAACAATACCAATTTGAAAATATGAGATCTGGTGATGAACCATTTAGTTTAATAACATTGCAAGGATGCCGTTTAGATACTTCATTTGACTTTTACTTCACTGTAAGGGATATCTTTAACAACTTAACCTAACAGAAAATGGTAATTAATTTGGTGTACCATCGTTGACCGGGTCAAGATTCTCTACAATGAATCTCTCTGGACTTCTTGTAGTAATCCAATGGCCTATGTTTAAAGTTAAGCAAAACTATGTCATTTTAGGATGTATGGTTTTAATGTCATTTTACTTCACTTTTAACTCAAATTGTTAAATTATGTACTTTGCTAATGTGTCTTGATTTGATAAAAAAACACACAAGAAGTTCATTGCAGAAGGAAGAAGTACGCTTAAAAAGTCCGAAGAACCATGGCATTACATATGGAAATCCTTCTAATGTCTGCTTATTTGACTTTTTGATAGCTGTAGGCTTAAAAAGTTCAATTTCAATGACATTTTTGGGGAAAGTTAAGAGTGCACCTTGAGTTACTAACATTTGAAGTATGATTCATGAACATGCTGCAAATTTTTCCATCCATGCAAGAAGCAGCATTTGTCTTATTGGCTCATGTGTTGAATGCCTTTATCTTTTTATTTATATACTTTTTCTACTTGTGCAGCTGGAGAAGGAGATGATCGATCTTACTGTTCAACGAGACTTGGCTCAATCCCAGGTTCAGGATTTGCTACAACTGGTTGGGGATGAGGGACATTCAATGACACGGGTAACTGTAGTTAAATTGTTGTACCGAAGCATCCATTCCATCTAGGTGTGCCTTGTTTAGTTGAGTTTATTTACTTTTTCCTTCTGTACTTCTCCAGGTAGGTTTTAATAACTACCCACGCTTGCAAGTTCGGAAGTCACCGGAATGTGAAAATCCAGTACCAGAGACATCCCCTTTGGCAAGTCCTCACTCCTTGAACATTGGTGTTAAAGCAGTCAACAGATCCCTTTATTCTTATGGACATAGTGGGAGAAGCTCTGATGATCACTACATACAAATTCTTCCTGAATTTGAAGAGAACTTTGTGCCGAATGATACTTCTCCACAGCTGTTGGTCGGTGCTTCTATGTTTATCCGAAGCAATTCTGGACGGAGTTGGGACATGATTGAAGAAAAAACCAATGGAACTTCAGAGGATTTATGCAAGGAAGTTCGATGCATAGAGGCAGAAGAATCAAATAGATCATCATCTCCTGAACAGAACACTGAAATCTCTGAATCGATGGTGGCTGGGAATGGAGACACAACAGATCAGGAGTTTGTGTCACCGCCACTAAAGGAAGATAGTATGTTAAGTTACATTCCCCATTTCGTTGCTCATTCTCACGAAAAACCATCTACATGGCCGTTAACAGAGTACATGTCTGGCTCTCAAAGCTTGAAATTAACTAAAAGTAGAAGCTGTAAAGCAAGCCTGATGACTAGCCCATATTCACCATGGTTTGAGAAGGAGGAAACTAATGATAATGAGCACACACCACCAACTGGGTTCGAGAAAGAATTCACTGGAAGACCTGAGGATATCCGAAGAAGGCTTTATGAATTGAACTATGGTGCCAACATTGAAAGGCTATCAAGAAAAGGTTCTCAATCTTCTATTGGGAGTGTTGCTGCTATTGATCTTGAAGCACACAGAGGCAGAACTTCAACTGATGATAACATTACTAGTGTTAATACATGCATTGTACGAATGGAGGAAAAGGCTGAGCTTCAGCAAGAGGAGCAAGTTGCTGATAATCCTGTGAGTTTTATTTCTATTTCCAGCTTTTATTTGAAGTATTTCTGTGAAAAACTATGGCTCAACAGAGTTTATGCTGATGGCAAAGCAGGAATTTGTTAACGAGTTCTAGAGAAACTTTTGTGTTCTTTTCATTTATCAATTATATATGACTTCATTATTAATTAAGCACAGTGAGAACAGTCGACACCTATTATGCTATGGGGATTCATAATAAATGCACTTTATGATTTACGACAGTCATTTAGCTAAGCCTGAGCGGCTGAGATTCATGGCTTTGTTCTTCTAGTTGTATCAACAACTTGAGTAGCATAAACACATACATGAGACAAAATGAAAATGCCAACATGGCAAATTCAATTAGTGTAGGGCATGGACACAACGGTACATGGAAAGGTAAATATGAATATTTTCGTATAAAAAATGTACTCTTTTTATTAGTTTGTACATACAAGGCTCATCAAAAAGTTCATAGCCCACAGTCCGGCCCGAACTGGTCCTTGGCCTAGTCCTAAAATATGAGCTGGGCTTGGACAAAAAGTGTAGAAATTTAATGTATAAAGATAAAAAGAGAATTGTATTATTGATTGATGTTTGTAAATGTTGAATGATTGATAAATTACAATTCCTATACAATCTATATATAGAAGAAAATGTGGTAGTAGGCATGGACACAACGGTACATGGAAAGGTAAATATGAATATTTTCGTATAAAAAATGTACTCTTTTTATTAGTTTGTACATACAAGGCTCATCAAAAAGTTCATAGCCCACAGTCCGGCCCGAGCTGGTCCTTGGCCTAGTCCTAAAATATGAGCTGGGCTTGGACAAAAAGGTAAGGCCCATGAACTGGCCCATAAGCCCAGACTGATGGACTACCTAAAACCTAGGCCATAGGCCCGACCCAAAGGCCCATGCACAAGGTAGCTGGTTGTTGTCATGCGTGGCACACCCTGGGTAAAATTTTGACAATTGCCATTTAGGAAACACACACCCATGACTCTCTCTATGGGTGTGTTTGAAAGTGTAAATGGGTGTTTTCCTATCTTTTCCCTTTAGGACCTACATATAGATGGGTGTGTGTATATATACTAGCGGCAGATGCAAATGCAATGCATTTGCAATTTTATATTTAAATTTTTGGATAGTTTGATGATTGAGGAAAACTAATTAGCAGTTTTAGACAGTTCGATGAAGGAGAAAAGTTATTCTAATAATTATCAAAAGTGATGGGAAGGGCATTCTTGGAAAAGTAAAAAAACCTAGCAGCGTTTACACTAGCTCAAGTGTAAAAAATTATGTATTATTGATTGATTGATATCTTACAAGATTGATGTATTCTGTATATTACAACTCCTATATATAGAGGAGAAGATGGTAGTGGAGTGTGTGATAGTGGAGGTGGTAGATGTGGAGAAAGATAGTGAAAAATAGTGGAGGTAGTAGGTGAGTGGTATAGTGGAGGTGGTAGGTGTGGAGAAAGATAGTGGAGGTAGTAGGTGAGTGGTAAATTCTAATATACACTTTATATAATAAAATGGATACACAAGATATGCATGTAAATGTACACTTTGTTGGGATATAAGTGTCTTACTTAACAACCTAGTGCAGGAGGCTTCTATTACTGCTGGTTTGGGGAGGGAGGGTTAGATGTATGTGGCCTTACCTTTGTGTATGAATTGACTGTTTTTGTATTTCATTAAAGCAACAAGAAAGTGTCATTTCTTATTACCCAGTTTGCAATAAAGGAATGATATACAACTTAACAATAATGTTAACGATTGAATTTTTAACTAACATCATATAGTAATTTTATGTATAATACTATTATTACTCTCTTTCTTTAGTTTCAGATTTGAGAGAGTATTCATTTCATTCTTGAATCATGGCTGTCATGGATGATGTTATCTTTGTGTGTGTGTGTGTCTCTCTCTCTCTCTAAAAGTATGTGCATGTAGAGTGTGTTCATCCTATGCACAATTAAAGAATTACTTGACACTCGTGGGAGTGCCCACAAATTGTTATTGGACACAACTCCTCTATAGAAGTTTCCATGCTACATATATAGTCAATAATATTGTCCACCACTCGTGGGAGAGTCTCAATTATTTTAACTATTCTCGTTTATCTTCTTATACAAACTCTGAAAATGGGTTATAAGGAATGACCATTTTAGTTGTCATAATTCTCCCTATGTAGTGGATTCTGTTAGAGAGCTTGATTTGCATTGTTGGGTCCCTTTTCTAACAGCCTAAGCTTTTTAGGACAGTGGTATCTAACATGGTATCAAAGCTCAATGCAGGAGAGGTCTTCCTCTCAAGTCTTTCGGTTTGCATTTGTTTCCCATTTATATGATACTCGGGCTGCTTTTATTCATTTAACATGTTTTGTTATACCTGACAGGTGCATGAGTCTGAACCAAAGGCCAAGAAATCCTTAAAGAATGTAAAAGATGTTGGCTTGGATCCAATAGAAGATGATTCGAAGAGTCTTTCGAATTGGCCCTCAGAATTCAACAGGCTCCAAAAGGAAATTATTGAACTTTGGGATGTTTGCAATGTGTCATTGGCCCACAGAACCTACTTCTTCCTGCTATTTAAAGGTGACCCAACAGACTCCATTTATATGGAAGTGGAGCTCAGGAGGCTATCCTTCCTCAAGGATACGTTTTCTCGAGGTAGCAAGACTATTGAAGAGGGTCAGACTCTCTTGCCTGCTTCGAGGTAAAATTTATATTCATCTAGTAGGTTGCGGGACCGAAAAAAAAATGATCTGCAACTAATGTGGGATTCATTTTCCTGCAAATCTCCTTTTGTCATTGTTTGGCCAAACAAAAGAAAAAAGGAAATAGAAGGATAATTATTCAATAGACCTAGACCACCATGTGGCATTATTTACGTGGTGCTCCAAACCAATTATGTAGCAAAAATAATTATGGGCAAGACATGCTGACTTACCTTTGTTAAATAGTTAGAAGACAAATGATGACCTACTTAATGTGTGTTGGCAATGTCATGTAGTACTTTGGGAGTATCTAATAAGTTTCCAAAGAAAAGAGCTCCAATCTGGTATGTGTTGCAATCATCAGATTGCTTCTTCACCATGTGGGCATTGCCGAATGTCCCCCGTTTTTCCTGTGAACATACATTGTTTCATTTCAGTATTGTGATGTGATTTTCTGCAAGGGACAGGAGACTGATACATGGAGGTGTGAGTGGGTTTGTGTCCGGTGCAAGTGAAAGTTGTGGCATGGGACACAGCTCGCACTTGCAGCCATTTGCACCTCCATTAAAGTGCAATTATTTTATCTTTACTTCTATTCTATTTGTCTTTAGTACTAGGTTATACTGTCCTGTTCAACTAGTTAATGCAATATGACAATATAACAATTACATTTTTTTTTAAAATTATTATTATTATTTTAAATTCTTGACATCTTTCTTTCATTTGGAAACAGCATGAAGGCTCTTTGTCGCGAGAGGGAGATGCTGAGGAGACAAATGAAGAAGAGGTTCTCAGAGCAAGATAGAGAGAGCCTCTACCTCAAATGGGGTATCAAAATCAATTCAAAGAACAGGAGGTCACAGCTGACCTCCCGGTTGTGGACCAACACAGAAGACATGCACCACGTTGCAGATAGCGCCTTCATTGTCTCAAAGCTGGCTGGAAACATCGAGCCAGGGCGGGTTCCCAAAGAGATGTTTGGGCTTAATTTTGCACCCCAAACCCCAAGCAGAAGATCCTACAGTTTGAAACAGAGCATACTGTCTCTGTTGTAAGGGTCATGTGGATCGCCAAGAGGAAATGTTCGTTGGATATGCGGTAACTATTGGCTACCTCTTTCATAGAACATTTTGATTTTTATTGATTTCCACTTCGATTTTTTTTTTTTTTTAAATTCTTTTTCGTAATTCGTGGATGAGAGAGGCTTGGAAAATTTGCTGAGGCTTGAAAATGGTGTGTATGTAAATCTGGTTTATATAGGAGGCCTTGAAAAAAAATTAATGATCAGGTTTGAAGTATGTGTCTTAAAATGTATCAGAGAGACCTATTTCGATTATATAAAGTACTGGCGTATTATCCGTACTTGTTTATAATTATTTATATATGTGAATTGTGATTTTAAATTTTTTTTTTTTTTAATTTCTTCTTTTTTTTTCTTTTTTATATTATATTAAAGTTTAATATTTTGATAATAATCATATGTGTTAAACTTTTCAAGTAATTAAATGTCTTTTTTTTTATTATATTATATTAAAGTTAATATTTTGATAATAATCATATGTGTTAGACTTTTCAAGAAATTTTTTTTATGCTTGTTCTTAATGCATTAAAGTGTTATTATGAGGGATAATAATCATGTGTTGGGACTTTTCAAAGAATTCATATGTGTTGGATTTCAAAGAATTTTTTTTATGCTTGTTCTTGATGCATTAAAGTATTATTATAAGGGTAAAACTTGAGAGTTGGGAGAAATTAATAAATGTTAAGTTTTTTTTTTTGAATTGCGATTTTTAAATGTTTTCTTCTTTTTTTTAAATGTCTTCTTTTTGTCCTTTTTTATATTATATTAAAGTTTAATATTTTGATAATAATCATATGTGTTAGACTTTTCATGAATTTTTTTTTTATACTTGTTCTTAATGCATTAAAGTGTTATTATGAGGGATAATAATCATTTGTGTTGGGACTTTTCAAGGAATTCATATGTTGGATTTCAAAGAATTTTTTTTATACTTGTTCTTAGTGCATTAAAGTGTTATTATGAGGGTAAGACTTGGGGGTTGGGAGAAATTAATAAATGTTAAGGTTTTTTTTTTTTAAATCAAAAAATCAAGAAATTTAGATTGGGAGATTGGAGCTCCCACAAGATTTGGGATTAAAAACACCCTTTTTGCTTAATATATAGTAAGTATAAATCATATTAAAGTTTAATATTTTGATAATAATCATATGTGTTAGACTTTTCAAGGAATTAAATGTCTTTTTTTTTATTATATTATATTAAAGTTTAATATTTTGATAATAATCATATGTGTTAGACTTTTCAAGAAATTTTTTTTTTTTGCTTGTTCTTAATGCATTAAAGTGTTATTATGAGGGTAAGACCTGGGGGTTGGGAGAAGTTAATAAATGCTAAGGTTTTTTTAAAAAAAAATCAAAAAATCAAGAAATTTAGATTGGGAGATTGGAGTTCCCACAAGGCTTGGGGTTAAAAATCCCCTTTTGCTTAATATATAGTATAGATTAAAGTTTAAAAACCCCCTTCTTTTATTATTATATTATATTAAAGTTTAATATTTTGATAATAATCATATGTGTTGGACTTTTCAAGAATTTTTTTTTATGTTTGTTCTTAATACATTAAAATGTTATTATGAGAGATAATAATCATATGTGTTGGGACTTTTCAAAAAATTTATATGTGTTGGATTTAAAAAAAAAAATTTATACTTGTTCTTAATGCATTAAAGTGTTATTATGAGGGTAAGACTTGAGAGAAGTTAATAAATGCTAAGATTTTATTTTATTTTTAAATCAAAAAATCAGAAAATTTAGATTGGGAGATTGGAACTCCCACAAGGCTTGGGGTTAAAAACTCATTTTTGCTTAATATATAGTATAGATTTATGTTGTGCATCATTGAGTATAAATAATTCATAAACATGAAAGAAAAAAAAAAAATTTGTAGCCACATTTGTCTTTAAAAAAATAGCAAGTCTATATTTCAAAAAAATGTTTGATTTCTATTATTTTGAAGACATGATGAGATTATATAATTACGATTTTTTATGACAAATAATGGGACAGATTCCTTAATAATATAATTTCTTTTTCTTTTTTAAATATGAGTGCAATGAAAAAAAATGAAAAATGGATCCAACCAACTATAAAGAAAAACGAAGAATCAAAGAATATTTTATTTTTTCAATTGTGAATTGCCGTAAATGCTTCTTTGACACCACCGAACTGTAAATAGCAAATGATCAAATTTTTTTTTTTATACTGTGGAATGGACACAGTTTCTACTTGTACTCTTGCTGATATTTGTACTTCTTTTAAAAAATTACTTGGATCTAATAATATCCCCAAACACTTGTACCATTTGCTTCTTCAACGAAGTTGGCTTAGGCTTCATTTGGAAAGTGATCCGTTTAGTCAAAAAAATCATTAAAAAAATTAAAAATCAACAACTTATATCAAAAAGTCAAAAATCCTTTTTTCTCTCTACTTTTTGCACATCTTTTCGTAAAAAGCTAAAAAATCATCCCAAATATACTACTTTTTTTAGCTCATATTTTAACCAAATAATCAAAAAAATTACTAAATTAGTCTGTTCCCAAACGAGGGCTTAATATCCACAGGGTAGACTCTCATCTTCAAATTTGAACCAAAAAAGCCCTAAATTCTATCCATGGATTCTGTGTTTTTGGACGACCTCATTCATTACATCTGAAGTGTCCAGTAATTGAAAAGAATTTGTGGTACAAATCCTCAGCCAGACCTTGCATGGCGACTAGGTAAGCCATGAAAGCATGAAATATCTACAGTGGAAGTAACAGAATTTGTCAACTAGAAGCAATGTGTGACAATCTTCATGTCCAGACTTCAGCTTGAAATAGAAAGTAACTGTTATGTAAACAAAAACTTTTAACATAAACCACAACACGATGCAAATGGAAGAAACAAGCTTTATGCAGTTTTATTTCAGGGAGGAAAATTGCTCCCAATATTACAATCAGCATAAAATTACATGTGATAAAGAAATTGTGTGCAACACAATAGCAAGAATAAATATTGTACCCCTTCCAAACTCGTATCTCTAACCTGAGTGTAAGGCGATGCCCATAAACCACCAAAAAAAGAAAAAAGAGGATAGTATTCTCTCTAATCTGCTCTAGATTGGCCAGCACGAGAAGAAAGGATGATGCCAACAATGAGGCCATACAGCGCCAATGCTTCAGCAAAGATGAGAATGAGAATCATTCCAACAAAAAGCTTGGGCTGTTGTGCATTAGCTCTGCCAAAATACAGTCAAATATCAGGAGGGAACATGCTTATTATGAATATAAAATTTATCTGACAGATATATATAATAGCCAGCACTGCATCCCATGTGAAGAACATACTACACCAAAATATAACAGTATAATTATCCGAAACTGGATTATGTGCCATTCAAGCGGTAAAATATTGAGCTCTATAGTCCATTGACACAAAAGCTCATTGAGGAACTCCTTAGAGACCAATTTATATAGACGTAAGCAGATTTTATAATCAATTAGCACTCTGGGATAAGTCAGGCATGCCTATGTGATACCAGGATAGGTTCAAATAGTTTAACTACCAATTGTGAGTCCCAGCTGAATAATGAATCTTGAGAAGCATTATAACTATTGTACCTAAAGTTACTATGGATGCCTCATAGAACTTTATATATACATTTCCTAAGACTGAGCCCTTCATTGTAAAAAGTACAAAGAAATATACCCACAAAAACTGGCACATGAGAATAAAAATTCATAAATATGTGATGGAAAAACAGAACCAATATTTACAAGTGCCCCCAGTCCCATACTTGGCATAATGCCTATGTTGTTGGGGTAGTGTAAATCCTAATAAATAGTGGACACCAGCTACCCGAATTTGGGGTGAGGATACTTTTGGTATTTCTACATTTGCTTTATTGCCCAAGTTTCTATGTATTTATAGTTAGGATAAGGTGGATATCTCTGTAATGTCTTGTAACATTTCTGATCATCGTAAAACCGAAGTAGCCATGGATGGATGTAACCCTAGATAATCCTGGAATCAATTGAGTATCACTTGTGGCTTCCATTTCAATTTGGATGCCAATTCTTCTACATTTAAATGCTGGTGCAGAGCAGCCTTATTCATATGATACAATGCAAAGCCTTCATGATCATAGCTCCACATCCTATGCTTCTCAAATTATATAAACAGACAGCTTCATCGAATACCATGAACATAATTCTCTTCGCAATTCCATTTTCCACAAGAAACACATGTCACTAGTATCATAATTCCAAAATTCAACAACATTATATTTAAGATTAAAAATAAACAAATAAACTATAACCCTCCAACAAACATTAAAGATGGACAATGGCAGAGAGAGTACCTAACACCAGCATCACCAACAATCCCGATAGCCATTCCGGCTGAAAGCCCAGCAAGACCACAAGCTAGACCCGACGACAGGTGTGCGTACCCATCAAAAAGGTAATACGACTTGGCCTTAGGATTAATTCCAGTACTGATAATCACAGCGATAATCAAACCGTAAATACCCAACACACCAGCCATAACAACTGGCACAATTGACTTCATCACGAGCTCTGGCCTCATTACACCCATTGAAGCCACTCCCACACCCGCTCTTCGCCGTTCCATAGGCAGCTCCCATACCTGAAACAAACAAACATTTTGGGGCATTTATTCATAAATTTCTCTTTACCTATTTATGTTCTATTTAGTCCAAATTATTTTCCAATAAGTCCTGAAAGAGTTATCAAAATACCCTAATAATAATAATAATATTCATGTAAACATTCATACAGTAAAATTGTTCATAAAATACTAAAATACTATGATTTAGATCAAATGTCCAAACAATAAAAGTTACTGGAATACAAGAATATGTTAGGAACTAATTGGATACAAGTACTTGAAGAAAAGGATTTCCTAATAAATCCCAAGTCAAATTAAAATTTTGGGTTAATTTCACTTTTGATCCCCATAACTATCACCATTTTTTTTTTCATATCATCCTAAAGTACTAATTTCATCTATTTAATCACTATTTTACAAATGAAGCGTAATTTGATGACAAAAAGAAAATTTTATAAAAAAAAAAATTCCCATCAAAATCAGATGAAATTGATAGTTTAAAAAATAAATGAAAAAAAAATGGTAACAGTTTAAGAGATAAAAAGTGAAATTAGCCCTAAAATTTTCGATTCCTTTTATTTTCGTACAGTTTCTTGAGAACCAAACAGGGAGGAAATTAAGGTTAGGTTTAGGCTTACAGGAGAAAACGAGGGCAGCTGCAGCGCCGAGGAAGCCGAAGAACGGAGCAGTTTCA